ACTACAGCCGTGCGCTACCACGCCCGGCTAATTTTTTTATTTATTGTAGAGATGAGGTCCAGCCAAGTTGCCCAGGTGGGTCTCAAACCCACAGGCTCAGGCAATCCACTCACCTCAGCCTCCCAAAGGCGCAGGATTACAGGCTGAGCCACCAAGCCCAGCTTATGGGGTATTTTTAATGGACTTTAGAATTATACTCTGATTTCTTAAACAATAAAAAGAAAACTAAATATCACTAGCAGTGAATTTTTCATTACTCCAAAATAAAATCCATAAAATTATTAGTAGCCACCATTATTATGGAGGTATGTCTAAAAATATACAAAACACAAACTACAAATTACTCTGCAAGAAATGTTTTATGTTGCTATTAAAAGTCTGGTTTGGCAAAACAAATGCAGGTTTTACATGGAAATTTCTTATTTAATAAGAAAGGTTTTTCTTACTTGAGACAGTCCAGGGGACGATGCATGTCCCGGGGGCGTTGCCGCAAGATTTGGATGCCCCTTGTTTATTTCATGTGCTGAGTAAGGGGAAGGGGTCGGGGGTCCCGGCTGTCTTGCTACCTGTGTTACCTGTGAGGAAATTAGTATTAGTAAGAGCATTATACCAGTAATGCTCATAACAATCAATCATAACAAATATGAACTAGTTAGTTGGTTTTTTATAATTAGATTATCAACCTCATAACTTAAATTAGTACCAGATTTAATAATGCCTTATATTTTCAAAATTAAAAAAATAAAATTGTATTTAAAAATGCACATGAATATTCACACCAATTTGATGAAAACTGCATGGACCCATGATCTCAAAACCAAAAACCTTAAAGGAAAAAATATACCAAGTGAAAGAAGACAAGCCGGGTTCGGTGGCTCAGCCTGTAATCTCGCGCTTTGGGAGGCTGAGGTGAGTGGACTGCCTGAGCCCGCGGGTTCGAGACCTGCATGGGCAACTTGGTGAGACCTCATCTCTATAATAAATCAAAAATTAGCTGGGCATGGTAGCACATGCCTGTAGTTCCAGCTACTTGGAAGGCTGAGGTGGAAGGATCGCAGGAGCCCAGCAGATCGAGCCTGCGGTGGCCGGGAGTGGTCACTGCACTCCAGTCTGGGGGACAGAGTAAGACTCCAACTCAAAAAAAGAAAAAAAAAGAAGAAGAAGACAGACTTCAAAACTACAAACCATATGCCATTTTGTAAAAGGAACAGGAAAAGATACAAATAGTTACAAGAGGAAGAAGATAACTATAGAATGGGAACAATGAGATTCTGTAGGGTTACTTAACTTTTCTATATCTTGATTATAGCGAGAATTACATGACTGTCATGACTCAGAGGTATAAAAAAAAAAGGGTGACTTTTACTTTATGTAAATTACACTTCAATAAACCTAAAACCCCCCAAATGGTACAGTCTCCTTTTTGTCTTTAAAAAAGCACATCCTGGCTGGGTACTGTGGTTCATGTCTGGTAATTCCAGCACTTTCAGAGGCAGAGTTTGGGAGAATCGTGTGAGCCTAGGAATTTGAGACTAGCCTGGGCACCATAGTAAGGCTGTGTCACTACCATAAAAAAAAATTTTTTTTAAATTAGCCAAGTGCAGCGGCACAGGCCTGCAGTCCCAACAACTTTGGAGGCTGAGGTGAGAGGAAAGCTGGGGACCAAGAGGTTGAGGTTGTAGTAATTAAACCAAAAAGTTTCTCCACAGCCAAAGAAATAATAAAGCAAACAGGCAACCTATGGCATGGGAGATGATATCTACAAACTATACATCTGACAAAGGACTAATATCCAGAATCTACAAAGAACTCAAACAAATAAAAATAAAAAAGCAAATAATTCCTTTAAAAAGTGGTCAAATGGGCCTGGCTCATTGGCTTAACCTGTAATACCAGCACTTTTGGGAGACCGAGGTGAGTGGATTGCCTGAGCCCATGGGTTGGAGACCAGCCTGGGCAACTTGATGAGACCTCATCTCTACAAAAAATAAAAAATTAGCCGGGCATGGTAGCGCACGCTTGTAGTTCTGCCTACTTGGAAGGCTGAGGCAGAAGGATCTCTAGAGCCCAGCAGGTCAATGCTGGGGTGGCCATGAGCATGCCACTGCACTCCAGCCTGGGTGATGGAGTGAGACTCCAATTCGAGAGAGAAAAAAAAAGTGGTCAAATGACATGAACAGACATCTCTCAAAAAAAGACATACAAATGGCAAATAACATGTGAAAAACTGTTCAACATCATTGATCATCAGGGAAATGCAAATCAAAACTGTACTGAGATGCCACCTTACACCAGTCAGAAAGGTCACTGTTAAAAGATCAAAAACCAGCCAGGCTCGGTGGTTCAGCCTGTAATCCCGTGCTTTGGGAGGCTGAGGTGAGTGGATTGCCTGAGCCTGAGGGTTCGAGACCCACCTGGGCAACTTGGCGAAACCTCATCTCTACAATAAATTAAAAAAAAAATTAGCTGGGTATGGTAGCATGCACCTGTAGTTCCGGGAGCGGCCACGGCACTCCAGTCTGGTGACAGAGTGAGACTCCAACTCAAAAAATAAAATAAATAAATAAATAAAATAAAATAAAAGAACAAAAAACAACAGATGTTGGTACAGATGTGGAGAAAAGGAAATGCTTATATACTGTTGGTCGGAGTGCAAATTAATACAACCTCTACAGAAATTGGTACGGAGATTTCTCAAAAAACTAAAAGTAGATCTACCATTTGACCCAGTAATCCCACTATTAAGTATCTACCCAAAGAAACGGAGGTCACTAAGTAAAAAAGATACCTGTGCCCTCATGCTCATTGCAGCACAATTCACAATTGCAAAGATCTGGAATCAACCTAAATGCCCATCAACTGATAGGTGGATAAAGAAAATGTGGCACACATATACTATCAAATACTACTCAGCTATCAAAAAGAATGAAATAATGTATTTTCTAACAACATGGATGGAATTGGAAAATATTATCATCCTAAGCAAACTAACTCGGGAACAGAAAACGAAATACTGCATATTCTCACTTATAAGTGAAACTTAACTAAGGATCTGGAGATCCTTATTGGAGAATGGTATAATAGACACTGGAGATGCAGAAGTAAGAAGGGGGTAAAGGGTGGAGGGATGAAAAATCAGCTGTTAGTACAATGTGCACAGGTAGGGATGGTGGGAACACTTAAAACCCAGACTTCTTTACTACTATACAAATGTAACACAAAACTATTTATACCCCTAATGCAATTAAAAGTTTTTTAAAAATTAAAAAAAAGAGAGTTCAGATCTCTGTTCTAGTTTGCTGAGCACTTGATCATAAATGAAAGTTAAATTTTATCAATTTTAAAAATCATATTTACACTAAAATTTGAATGTCACTTCCAAAATTTTCCTAATGACTGAATCAGTTATTCTCTGGCTAAACTGCTCCATTTCAAGTCATACTGATAAAATTCACCTCCTTTGAAGGTGGTATCATCAAAAAATCATGCCAAGAAAACAATCTAGAAGACTAAATCTGACCTTTTTTTTCCTCTTACCCAAATTCCTAACTAAAAAGTTTGGGGAGTCACTGCCTGATTAGTCTATATCTAAAGTTTGCTTTCCAGAGTAACTCTGACATAACAAATAAAGAAGGTTTATGGCCCTGCAAGATCACCTCTTAAGGATTCCGAGACTCCAGGGAGCCAAGACACTTGTCTATCTGCCACATAAAAGGATTCATCTACATATCAGCAAATCGGAGTTTTCCCCCCCCTTATTTTTTTTTTTTTT